AATGGGAGCTGCGGAGTCAGCGCGCGGGCGGGGCGGGGCGCAGTGGGGACGGGACCGGACCGGACGGAGCCCCCCCCCCGCGGAGCGCACCCCGAAATCACGCAGCTTGAGGCGGCCGCGCGGCGCGCGCAGGAAAGTGTCGGTCTGGGTGAGCGCGCGCCCCGCGCCCCCGCTGAGCCGCTCGGCGACGCGCTCCGCGCGCGCCAAGTCCCGCGCGCGCGCCTTGAGCTCCACGTTCCGCGGCATCCTGCAGTGCCCCGCCTCTCCCGCTGCCCATTGGCTGGTGCGCCCACGCGTCCCGCCCACTGGTCGCGCTGCCTTAGCTACGGGACTCTAGGTCCTGATTGGCTGACACTGCCAAAGGCTCCGCGACGATTGGCTGATTCAGGCTTCCCCTTCCAGCCCCGTCCCGCCAATCAGAATGGAGAATCCGCGACCCTCGCCGACACTAGACCAATCGGGCTGCCAGCGGCGCCGTGAGGACAAGGCGCTGATTGGTTGAACGTGCGACTAACGCAGGCGGCAGACTGCGCTGCGATTGGAGGAGGCCGGCGGGGGCGGGCGGCGATTGGTGGAGGGGGCGGGTGGCAGAGCCGGGTGGGCGGTGATTGGCGGCGGGGGCGGGCGGTGATTGGCCGGGGTCGGTGGGGCGGGCGGTGATTGGCTGAGGCCGGCGGGGCGGGCAGTGATTGGCGGGGGCGGGCGGCAGAGCCGGGCCGGCGGCGAGCCGGAGATGGAGGCGGAGGTGCCGGGGATCGGCGCGCGGTGCCCGGGCGATGGCGAGTGCGCGGTGCCCAGCTCCCCCCGCGGCGCCGCCGTGCCCGACCGCACCCGGCTCCGGGCCTTCCTGTGGTGCCGCGAGTTCCTGGCCGGCTCCTGGAAGCTGATCGCGCCCGAGGAGTTCGGCATCAGCCCGGTCAGGTACCGGACCGGGCGGGGCTGGTGGGGTCCGGTCCGGTCCGGTCTTGCCGGGGCGGGGTCAGGCTCGGCTCGGCTCGGGCGGGGGCGGTTCTCGTGCCAGCCCTGCGGTGCCGTCGTTAGGGTTCCGGGTTAACGCTCCGCCCTGCGGCCCGGCCGGGCCACGCGCCCGGCGCAAGCGGCGTGTCTGGGGTCCCGGCGGGGGGCGATGGGCCCGGGGGGCGGGTGCTGCGCGGCCCCCCGTGCAGAGTGACCGGTAACGGTGCAGGGGCCACCCCGGGGAGCGGGGAACCCCCGGCCGTGCCCGTAGCTGGGACCGGGGCAGGGCCCCCCCGTCGCACCCGGCGCCTGCGAGCTTTGCCCCGTTCACTGCCCCGTGATGCGGCACAGCCCGGCCCGGCCACACAGGGCGCGAAGGTCCCGGGGCGGCTCCTGGGGGCACCGTGCTGCTGCCTCTGCCCCCGGCTCGCAGGGGCTCCTCCCGCGGGCCCGGACCTTGCTCGAGCCTGGTGTGGGGCAGAGCGCCCCGCTGGGCTCTGGGGGACAGGCCCGGACTGCCGGCTGGGCCCGGGCTGGGACAGGCGGTGGAGGGGGCGGAAAGGGGGGACCCGTCCCCGAGCTGGGGGGCAGCCCCAGGGCGAGGCTGGAGTTCCCAGCAGGGCGCTGTCCGCGACGCTGCCGTGTGCCCAGGTCTCTCCACGGGCAGGCGTAGAGCCTGGGGCTGTGCGGGCACCCGCGGCCGGCCCCTCGGCCAGGCCCTGCTCGGGCGCTGGTGGGGGCAGGATCGGGGCAGGAGCTCACGTGGGCGGGCTCAGGCTGAAATTGCCGGGGAGGGATCCGCAAACCTTGCGGGGTGCGCCCCGTGTGCCTGCCCCGTGCGCCTGCCCGGCCCCGTGCTCGCCCCCCAGCGCCTGGGCTGCCCCCCCAGCCCCCCCGGCCCCGTGCGCCTGCCCGGCCCCGTGCTGCCCCCCCCAGCGCCTGGGCTGCGTCCCAGCGCACCGGGCCCCGTGCTGCCCCCCAGCGCACCGGGCCCCGTGGCCTCTGACCTGGGCTCTGCTCCCCTTTGCAGCGGGGGGCTCAGCAACCTGCTGTACAAATGCAGCCTCCCGGACCACGTCCTGAGCGTGGGCGATGAGCCTCGGCAGGTGCTGCTGCGCGTCTACGGGGCCATTCTGCAGGTGAGGCTTCCCCAGCCAGGCAGCAGGGCACAGGGGGTGAGGGGCCCCGGGAGACACCAAACCGCTTCCTGCGCTGCATTCGACGGCCTGGCTGGGGTCAGCGTGTGGGGGAACTGGCCTCACACGGCTTGACCTCATCAGCCCAGCGACAGGCTCCATGCCAGCCACGCACGGGGCCAGCTGTGTGGGCTACGCAGCCCTCTGCAGGGACTGTAATCTCCCCCCTCGCCCCCCGGTGAGGGCCTAGGCCAGCCCTGTCCCCTCCCAGCTCTGCCAGTGCCCCTCACTCCCAACCCGCAGCACCCTGCTATCCCAGCCTTGCACCCCAGCTCTGCCAGTGCCCCATAGTCCCCACCCGCAGCACCTTGCTATCCCAGCCCTGCCCCCCCAGCTCTGCCAGTGCCCCATAGTCCCCACCCGCAGCACCTTGCTATCCCAGCCTTGCACCCCCAGCTCTGCCAGTGCCCCATAGTCCCCACCCGCAGCCCCCACCATCCC